ACCATCTCCATGTATGTGTTCATGATCTTCTTGTCTAATTCGTAATAGACTTCCATTTTCTTTAAAGGTCTCATATCAAGATCAATGAAATGTACCTGTCCACGTAGAGCTCAGAACACAAATATAGAAACAATTCCAACCAAAGCAAAGATGATAGAAATCTCACCTTGTAATCAAATTCTTGCTTTGCTGATTCAAGATGCAGATTACTGTGGGAAGATGATCTTGAGATCCCATCCTCTGTTGATCTAAAACTTATCATCACACTACAATCCTTCGCGGTGGCGGATACTAGGAAATCTTTCAAAATATTCACTTTTTCGTGTAACGGAATTGAATGCATGGAACCAAATTGATTTGACAATCTACTCTTCTCCAACTCTTTGCACACCTTACATGGCTGGTCAACTAAGTCATAGTACACGTGAATCGCTCCCTCGATGTTATATTTGTCGAGCTTTTGAATGTCTAGAAGGTGGTCTAGAATTCCAGATGCGTAAACAGTTTCTGCAACAAGCTCTATGAAATGATTTGCACGTAAGCCATCCTCGGTCTTTATGATATCTTTGAGTAGATGCTCAAAAGCTTGTTCAACCTTTGAGGTTGTTTTGCTTATTCCACCACCCAATCCTCCAAAAACCAGAGAACCATTCAAGAACACGCGGAAATTGTTCTGAGGAGTCGCGTAAAGAGCTTTTATCGCTGTGAGTATTCTATCTTTGGATCCAGAGAAAAGGTCCAAGGGATCATATTCACTGATTTCTGATATCTGCAACACGCGTGTTAGGATCGAATGTTTGATTGTGAAAGTTAAGAAATTCAGGGAAGTAGTAAGTACCTCATTTTCCTGAAGCTTTAGAACTTGGTGCATTTCGAAACGAGTTATACTCTTCTTTATGACATTTTCCTCTGCTATGAAACTTGAAGATGGAAGAAATCCACATTTGGGCTACTTCATCAGAGCAAACATATATCAGCAAAATAAAAAACATTCAATCGCTAGCCGAAAGCACGATTATGAACACCTTTATTTCAACACTTAAGCATGGTTTATCCTCAACATGACCTGAAAGCAGAGGATAAACCAAAATCCATCATCAAACTGACTTAACCAACATACAAGTTACAAGCTCACATCAAATAGAACAATCATGAGCATCAAAAAGGTTGAATCTACCGTGGGCGAAAAGTGTCAAATCATCCATGAGAAGAACGGAAGTACGATTAGTATCGACAATAGCTGCATCAGCTCGCCAAGAAGGTCGCTGAGATGTAACGATTTTCTCAACAGACTGAAGAAACTCCTTTGCTACAAGAAGACGCATCTGCAACAATATACAAGACACAAAAACGAAACTCTTTTAAAACATATGGTAAACACGAGAAGAAAATCGAAAGAGGGAGGAAAACATACTCCAGCATTGACATGTTTATGACCCAACAAAGGTTTCATGACATGTTTGACAAACAAATACTCAACAATCTCCTTGTTTTGACAAGATACAAGATCCTTAATCTCTCCCCAAATAACCTTTTCATGAGTCGTAAGACCGTTTTCATTTCTGTTTCCATTTTCTTCTTTCACATCCTTTGGCATTTTCTGTATCCTCATCATCTTTCCCAACTTTGACACATACATATATAACACACAAAAAGATGATAGAAAAAGATAGGAATCAATGTTGGCAAAAATAATGTTTTGGTTTGAGAAAGAGATTCAAAGACAAGAAATCGAAGAGACTATACGAAAGTAGGAGACGATCCAGTGTATGCGAGAACCAAATTCCCAGCTCCTTCACCTCTGTAAGACCAATCCAATGCATCTTTTGGTTCCAAAACAATCTCCATCTGAATCTAAACAACAACACAAGAAACAACCAAACTCACTTTTTTCTTTTTTTTTTCTTACACGTAATGAAG